CCTCTCCACCCCTCCCTTGTTGGTCCATCCACCTCTCCACCCCTCTCTTGTTGGTCCATCCACCTCTCCACCCCTCCCTTGTTGGTCCATCCACCTCTCCACCCCTCCCTTGTTGGTCCATCCACCTCTCCATCCCTCCCTTGTTGGTCCATCCACCTCTCCATCCTTCTCTTGTTGGTGTCATCCCTGCTCTGTCCCTGGAGTAGCTCCAACCCAAGCCCTGCCACCAGCTCATGAGGACACCCGCCTCCCGGTGGGTGCCAGGAGCCTGAGTGTCACCGTGGCTTGTGTTGGGAACTGACCAAAAGGCTGGTGGTTCGAAACCACCAGCTCCTCTGAGAGAGGAGGCTGCAGCCGCATGCTGCCATGACCCTGGGCTTTCTGAAGTCCTCTGGTCTTCTATTCTGTCCTGCGGGGGCCGCTGAGCCAGAATCAACTTGGTGGCCGTGGGCTTGGTGGCTGTCGGCAGGGAGCACCTAGCACCCCAGCCTCCTGCCCCTTGGAATGGCTGCCTGACCACTTGACTGCCATGGCCGCCCCCTGATTGCAAAGTGTCCACCCACCCCCGGGCCCTTCCTACTTCCAGGTGCACAACTGCGCCACACCCACATGTGTCCCAGGGTTCCCTGTCCACAATGGCCTCTTGCTTCCACATCCCCCACCTGGAGGGACCTCAGGGTGAATGAAGGAAGGGTTCTAAAGGGGTCCTGGGGGGCAGGAGGTGGGAGGGGCAGAGTGTGCCTGCCCCCAGAGCCGCTCAGGGAGTGCAGTGGACGGGCGGAAGCTCCTCCATGGAGCTGGGCCTTGTGTGGTGCCAGTGTGCCTCCCACAGACGTTTGTTGACTGGCTGACTGATGGTGGGAGCTGGCTGGGGGCGCTGAGGGGAGGGGGCCAGGGGAAGAGCACCGAGGGGGAGCAGGGATTGCACAGAATCCGGCCCACGGCCGTAGCATAGGACTCCGGACTGGTGGGGATTGTGGGATATGCAGGGGTCCCCTTGGTGGGGAGGGATTTAGTGTCCCTCACTCACCTCTACAGATCAGGCCCCCCTGGGGGCCCCATCCACTGTCTCCTGCCATGCCTGGCTGGGGTGTATCCCCTCCCCTGGCACTCCTGGGGCAACATCAGGTGGACACAGGTGCACCAGCTGGGGCAGAGGCATGGAGGGAGGGCAGACACACTGGGGGAGGGGCAGAGACACGGGGGTAGGTGACAGACACAGGGAGGAGGCAGACCATATGGGGGAAGGGCAGAGACACTGGGGGCTAGAGGCAGACGCATGGGGGATGGGCAGGCACATTGAGGGAGGGGCAGACACGCTGGGGGAGGGGCAGGCACATTGAGGGAGGGGCAGCCACACTGGGGGAGTGGCAGGCACAGAGGGAGGGGACAGGCAGTGGGGATGAGACACGCTGGGGGAGGGAGGGGGCAGACATGGAAGGAAGAGAAGACACATTGGGGGTGGATGTTTAGAATGGGTCTGGGCCCTGGAGGAGGTGGAGGGGCCAGGGTCCTTGGTTGAGCCCTACCCCTGCCCCAGTGCCCCACCCCCCATATGAACTAAGGGCCAGGTCCTAGAGTGCCCTTGGCTGCAGCTGGGAAGGTCAGTGGACAGCCATGGGTGTCTCCGGGAGGGTCGCCCATAAGTGCCCTGTCCCCGGCTGGGTGCCAGGTTTCTGTGGGGTTGGGGAGGGCCTGGGCCCTGTCCTGGGGGGTCCCAGTCTGGTGGCAGAGGGAGGCAGCTGAGCTGGACCAGGCTCCTGACTATGGACCAGGGAGAAATGCCATGGGGACAGGGTGCCGAACCGGCTGAGCGGTCAGCCTCCTGCTGCTGTCTCTGATCCTGGTCCTGGCCCGCCACAAGCTTGCCCAGTGAAGCCCACAGAACTTGAAAGGTGGCCCCAGCCCTGACACCCTTGGGTGTGACCGCCCTCGCCTGCCCCTGCCCGCCACCCCCACCCCCCAACAGGCTTCAAAGGGGCATCCGAGGAGCTGCCCGCAGCTGTCCCTGGGGTGGAGGGGGGAGGCTGAGACCGATGCCCAGGGCGGGGACTTGGATGCCCTGCCCCCTCGGGCATTCAGGTCAGCAGGGGCCTGGCAAGAGATCAAAGTCTGCCCCGAGGCCCCAGAGGGGGCTGGGTGCCAGGGGACCCGGGAGCTGAATGCAGAGGGTGGGACACAGCCTGGCAAGGGCACAGGCCAGGGGGCACAGCGAGGGGCACAGCTCTGGAGGCTAGAGTGAGGACAGGGCAGAGGGGACATGGGTAAAGGGTGGGGCCAGTGGACATTGGAGATAGGACATGGACACAGGACATTAGTGTGAGAACATGGACATCGGGTGGAGACATGGGAGTGAGGACATGGACATGACATAAGGACTCAGGGTAAGGAGAGAGGACATTGGGGTGAAGGCACAGGGGACATGGGACACAGGGTGGGGATACAGCA